ACTGGCTCCCAGTGTAACGGAAAGAGCCTGGGACATGAATCAAAACCTGAAGGCTTGTTCCAAAATGCCACCAGCGTTCTGGAATTTATGATTTTTAAGAACGCCTTCAGCTGGAAAATTCTATTATCCTGTTATCCAATCTCTTTCTATTCTCTGACTTTTAATTTTTTTTTTATTGAGGATCAGAAATATAGTTACTTTAAGCAAGCATCTTTGATTTACATTAGTTTTAGGTCACTAAGTTAACTTAATATTTCTAGTATTTATAAGTGATTCCAAAAAAGTTTTCCCCCCATGTATACAATATTCACTCACTCAGTTTTTAATTAATTCAAAAAGCATGACTTACCTACTATATAGGTATATAAGGCACTACAGAATACAAAGATAAATAAAGTCTAGACTCTACCTTTTGCCCTGGCTGGGTGATTCGGGTGGAACCTTGCCCCTCACACCAGAAAGTTGTGTGTTTGATACCTGGTCAGGGCACATATCTAAGTTGCGGGTTCAGTCCCCGGTAGGGGTATGTACTGGAGGCAACTGATCGATATTTCTCATATCAGTGTTTCTCTCTCTCTCTTTCTCCCTCTCTAAACATATCCTCGGTTGAGAATTTAAAAACAAAACCCAGACTCCATCCTTAAGTAGCTCAGATTCTGGTGGTACAGTCAGAAAACAAAACAGAAAAAATCTAGCAAACAAAAACCATTGTGATAAGCAGTGGTGTGCTGGTTCAGTTAAATATCGTCTCTGGAAGGCGGTGGGCAGAGGCGATCACAGGCCTGTGGGATTTTCTCATTTTCTATGGTGTAGATGTGCCCACCATGCCAGTTTCCAGACACACTGTGGTGCCACTGAGCGTGGAGCTCTCGGCGGCTCCAGCACGCGCCTGATGCAGAGGGGAGCCTAGGAGAGCACGGCAGGCCCGGGGCCCAAGCAGCCGGCAGACAGACGTCGGGCTCCACTGGTAGGCCGGGGAAGGACTGGAGAAGAGGGAACTGTGGAGCTGTGGCTTAAAGAAAAGTAGGCGTCCGTCCATTGGGCAAAGTGGAGAAAAGTGTTCTAGGCAGAGGAAACAGCATGTGCAAAGCCAGGAGGAGTGATTTCTAGAACAGAGGCTGGGAAAAGTTTTCTTAAAAGGCCAGGGAGTATATAACAGGCTTTGAAGGCCACGAGAAAAAAAATTGAGGCTATTTTGCAGCAACTCATGTAACTATAAAATGCAGCCATCAAAGAATGTAACAAACAGCTCGTGGGTTGTAAAAAACAAAACAGGCAACTGACGCAATTTGGCTCAAGGGCTGTTGTTTGTTGACCTCTATTCTAGAAAAAGGGAGAAACTAGAGGCAAATTATGCTAAAGCCTCCCTTTTACAGAGTGGGTGTGTTTTTCTCATTCCCTTAAAATGTGAAACAGAGCCAAGAAGTCCCCCTAGCAGTTTTCCTGAAACAGCATTTTATATCTGGCTTGACCCCGCACTCCCTGATCCAGCAGAAAAGGAGTTGGGAGAATAGCATTCATTTTATGTAGCAAAATGCACATCGCTGTGCACTCGATGCTGCGGACGACCTCACCCAGTCGGGGGGAATGGGATTCAGAGACCATTCTGTGGCGCATGGATGTACTCAAGCCATCACCCTACATAAAGTGGGAAATACTGGAAAACTGAGATTCTTTAACATGACCAGTTTAGCTTGAAAACAGCCAAGTGCTTGGTACAGTGTTAGAGCAAAGACATCCACTGACTTGAATATTTTCTAGACAAAATCTTGGAAGGTAATCTTTTCCTGGTTTTAGCATTTAAAAAAGATATAAAAGCCTTCATGGCCTACATTCTCAGAGGACCTGACAGTCCCTCCTCAAAGGTAAAGAGCGTCATGTCGTGCCAGAAAGTAAGGGAGTACTCAGAGAAGATGGGCACCTGTCAAAAGGGCACAGGAGCGAAGATGAAAAAGTTCCCAATGGTCAAAAATGGAAAAAATTTGAGTAAAAAATAAGTAAATGAAATATTATTAGATTATAACCACAGTATAAAATCAAAACCCACAAGTTCATAAAAGTTGAATAAACAAATGAAAGAGAAAAGATAGCTCTTCCTTACAGAAAAAATAACAAATATAAATATAGAAGGAATGAAACAAATAGAAACTCACCTTTAGAACATAGTAATAATTACTGCAAGCAAAATCTACCAATGGATGCTAAAAATAGTGGGTAGAAGCTTGGGGAGAATTAGAGTGTTTGCATAGTCTCGAAGTATCTACCCCAAGATATCTATTAATTATAAAGACAAAACCTGGCAGAGACCACCTTAACCAAGTGATCAAGGTCAACATCATCAGTAGTTAGACAAGTGAACATTATGTACACCCTCAGGTGTCACAATGAGATCATCACTTCTGTGTTATTCTTGCCAAAAGTACAATCTCAATCTAACATGAGAAAAAACATCAAACATAACCAGATTGAAGAACATTCTACCTGACCAGTGTTCTTCAAATATGTCAAGGTCAAAAGGGACAAGGAAATGTTGATGAACTGACACAGACTGAAACATACTTAGGAAACATGATGATTTAATGCAATGTGGTACCTTCCTGGATTGGACTCTGTAATAAAAAAAGAGCATTAGTGCCCTGGCTGGTGTGGCCCAATGGTTGGAGCATCTTCCCATGAGCACACTGAGGGGTCCTGGGTTCCATTCCGAGCCAAGGGCACGTACCTGGTTTTGGGTTCGATCCCCAGCCCCAGGAGGCAACCAATGGACGGGTCTCTCTTGTCTTTCTCACATTGATGTTTGATGTTTGTCTCTCTCTTTCTCTCTCCCGCTTTCCTCCCTTCCACTCTCTAAAAAGGAAGAAGACCATTAGTAAAAACATACAAACAACAAAAACGAAAACAAAATTGGTCTGTACTATAAAATCTAGTTTATTTAACACACTTTAGAGGTATTAACATTAGGGGAATCTGGGTGAAGGCTTTTTGAAAAATTTCTAAAGTCTAAAATTATTTCAAAGTAAAATGATAAAAGAGAGAGATACGCTGCATTAACATTTTTTATTTATGATCTGTTTCCCTTTGCTGGGTCTTGTTTGGGTTTTTCTCATTAATTTTCTCTCTTAGGGGTCATAGCTTTAATTACAGAGGACGGGATATTAGAATTGAAATTGTTACTCATTAAATCCATTCTCCAACCTCTTTAAAGCAGATATTTAAGCAATTAATGAAAACAGTGTACTTCCAGGCCAGGCCTAATTTTATAAGATCCCAAGAATTAACCATTGGAGTACATATGATTATCGCCATTTTATATTCACTGATATTGAGTCACTAAAATATAAAATAGAAGGCTCCTGAGGACAGGAATTTTTCTCTTTGTTTACTGCTATGTCTTCAGCCTCTAACATATTACATGGCATATCTTATGATGTCAACAAATATTATGAAATAAATAAATGAATGAATGAGCCTTAAAGAGATTAAGCAACTTATTCACAGAGGTGGAAAATGGAAAGTTAAGTTTTTATCCTAGGAATATCTGATTTTGAAGACAAACTCTTACCCACTGTACTAGACAACATGGGTCTTAAGATCTTAAGAGACAGAATAGTTGCAACGCATTTTTGTGGTCACTGTTCATTTGTACCAGTCAATCCGTAAAGACATGAGAACCAGGAAATCCAAGGAGACTGTTAGTCTGACTGCTGCAAAACTTGTTTTTGACCCATTTGCTCAAGCAAATTAAAAAGTGGAAATATCTAGAAAGAAGCTAGCAATTTCTCAGCAAACCAGGACTGCACATCAGGATGACACAGAAATATATTCTGAGAAATGGCACACGGAGCGGTACCACAGGGGTATGGCTTCCTCTTTAAACAGTAGTAGGACATTGCTGATGGTTTTGGCGAAATTTGATTCACCTTCCATAGAGTAGTTTCATGGAATTTTCTCCAAGTATTTGGCTGCGTTTATTGAATTTGTCTCAAAGGTTAAACTCGAATAATATTTTCATTTCTTTACCACAGAACGTGACAATTAATTTAAATCACATCTCATATTTTAGCATTGTAGCACATTTGGGACTAGATATTTTATTTCTGTGTTCCTTTGGAAAAGATTCTACTGCAAATTGAGGGCCTGGGTAATGCAGTGGAAAGAGCTTTGCAGTGAAAATCAGAATAGAAAGCTCAATCGCTGGCTCCACTACTCGCTAGTTGTGTGACCTCCAGCAAGTGGTTCAAAACATATCGGAAACTCAGTTTCTGTACCTCTAAAATGGAAACAAGAACTTCTCGGCCTTTTTACAAAAGGTTGTTTTAAAATTAAAATGACAAAATGTATGTAGACATGTCTTATAAGTTCTACACCACTATACTCAAGTTTAAAAAAAGTGAGAATCCAGAAAATAGCATATTTGTAAAAGGAAGTAATTGCAAATCCTTTACTAAAGTATCTTTTGATTTTAATTAGTAAATATTTTCCTTGATATAGGTTTTCTAGTTTTTCCATTAAACTATTCAAACCTGTTCTTTTGCAATAAACTTTTATCATTAGTGCTTATGATATGTAAATTTTCCAAAATTTTATGTAATTTCATAGTCTATAAACTGTTCCTAAATGATTGTTACTTAGAAGTAGTGGGACAATGTCTTTAATTACAAATTTTTGCCTTTTTTTTTGTTTTAAAGACACAGCCTTTTAAAATTATAGTATGAAAGGCTATCTCTTTAAAAAATAAAGAGCATCTAATTAAAGATTAATTTTCAGGTAATCATTAGGCTATTTTCACTATCACTCGAAGTCACTGAAGACTAAAGATGCAAGTTGATTACCAATATCCATTGATGGCCACAAAAGAAAAAGAGAGAGGAGAAAAAAAACATAAGCAAAATTCATATTATTCAAATCATTCATACATTCGTCTAAATTGATTAATTAATTCAAACTTTTAAAAACTATTCTGCTGGTAAATATCATGGAGATAAGTGTAAGTCAGATACCTTAGATTCAAGCGTCGTCAGGGACCAGGCAGCGTGAATGAGTGAAGCAGGGTGTCAGGAAGACCACAGTGAAGGCTGGGAATCCTCGCTGCCACTGAGGAATACACTCAAACTAAGCCTCCAACATCTGAGGTTGTTGAGAGAAAGAAGTTGACAATTAGATTTTCAGTGAAATCTTAAATCTTAAAAAGTTATAACTGAATTGAAGCTTTATAAAACTGTATGGGCTGAAAAAATAGTCCACAATGTCACCAATTTGGGACCTCTGTTGATGTTTTCCCCCATCATTTGATCCAGTCATTACTTTTGGTTTTGAATATGTTATTTAGATAATCATTTTAGACTGTAGCCATTTAGCATCGTTAGATCAGAGAGTCATTTTAAGAGCCTCTGATATTGCAGGGCCAGGAGTGGCTCAGCCTTGCACATAGTCCTGGGATCCAGGAGATCGTAGTTTGATTCCCCCTCGGGGCACATGCCCGGGTTGCGGGCTCCATCCCCGGGCTGAGGGCGTGCAGGAGGCAACAGATCAATGACGCCCCTTTATCATTCATGTTTCTCTCTTTCTCTCTCCCTCTCCAGCTTCCTCTCTCTGAAATAAATAAGGAAATATTAAAAAAAAAAAAGTCTCTGATATAAAAAACAATAGTCGAATCCAGCATCACTGGCATTAAAAAAGATTTAAAGTAAAACTAAACCTACAGAAATGTAGCAACAATGCATAATCCTCTAGCTTACAGACCCTGCATGCCTCTACATTTCTCTACACTCAAGGGCTCTCAGAATTTAATTACATAACAGTAAACAATAAATTAAAGGTAAGCAAATAAACCTCATCTTGGTAAACCCATATGACATTTCTCTACCCACTACCAAAGTCCCTCAATTTCCATTGACTCAAATAATTAGTTTTGACCAAAAAGAAAAAACGAACAGCTGTGTCTTCTGGCTTAGTGACACACCTTTGACCAAGTGTCTGTCCATCCAATAGAAATCTAATAGCAATTTTTCGAGCCTAGTGACACTGTCACTCCCCACTCTTCATTTCCACCCCAGTTCCTGAAAGACCTACCAAGATGTCCAGGGTTGAAGGTCTGGCACCCATTTCAAACCTCTCCTTTTAAATATCCTCCCACCCCCGCCTTCCCACCATCTCAGGGACTTCACTATTACAATTTTCCCTCACCAGCTTCTCTCCTGCTGACCCTCCTCCTCCAAAAAAAAGCATTATCTGAGCCCTCTGAGAAATGAAAAGTGAAAAGTAGTTCCTCCTTTCAAAACCAGTTAGAAACTCCTGTCTTAATATTTGTCTGGAGCTTTGCTTTGATTTTCCAAATGATCTGGGTTTGGCACAACACTGGTTGTTAAGTAATAAACAACAGCATGACATTCCAACAGGGAGACGGAAAACCCAGACGATTTAGGATTCCACGGAGACTCAGCACTGGACCCTCGCTGTCCAGACCAAATAACCCTCCCCAGTATGGAGAAAAGCTTTACTTCTTAAATAACTGGTATAATAGGATGCAATTGCTGTCACTTGAGTTGGCATTTTATTCTTTCCCCTTTCCTTGGACATGGCATTGTAGATGACAAGTGGAGGTCTAAGGTCATACCTAGAGCCTAAGGCTCTTTGTATAAGACTTGAACGAGTCTTATACAAATAATTTTTTCAGCCTTGCGGGTAGATGACATTATTACCCTCATTTTACAAAGAAGGCGACAGAGACGCAGCATGGCTAACCTGGAAAAGATCCCACGATTTTAGATTTTGGATCTGGGAGTAAAATCCTGGTACTCAACTGCCCTTAGCCTCTGGAATATGCTGCCTCTCCACTGCTCAGGTTTATATTCCTTTCAAAATTCCTGATTCTGGGAATGTGTCCCTGCTTTCAAACAAACCATAGGCATTGGTCTGAGACTGCGCTCCTTGATTACTTTACATTCCGTGTATATTCTCCAGTTCTGTTCCCAAGGTTGAGAATCTGAGATTTTGATTTTCAATATAGCAATGAGTTAAATTGTCAATCCTCTCACAGGTGTGTGTTTGAGAGATAAGCTCCTATTAAAAGACCCTTTGTTTTTAAATAATATCAGAAGGGAAATTCAGGCTGAAATTAATAGAACTCTTCATAAAGTGAAAAAAGAAAAGGACACTGAGGGGAAAAAAGGTCCACCTGTTAACAACATTCTCTGAGTCATTTTACTGAGTTCTCTAAGCGTACTGTCCAGCCCCAGGCTGGGGCATCTTCTGGGCATGGTGGGCCACCTTCTCCTAATTCTTAAGAGCTCTTTATCTCTGCTAAGGTGGCCCTGGTGACCCCGGAGACCAACACCTTCACTGAGGGTGGGTTTCATGTCCCCGGGTCATCAGAGTAAGTCTTCTAGGGCACCACCGACACCATCAAAGCCTGTTTTCTGGCTCTATTCTTGGTAACATCCAGTATATGAAACCTGAAAAATATTTGGGCCCACTGGGGCTTCCTGACCTGTCATACAACTAAGGATAACATTAAATCTCAGGAAAAGGCTGAATCTCTGCTCTTCCAAGTTTAGATGTCATCACCTTACATCCCTGTGATATTGCCCGGCCTTGGCTCTGTCAATGGGAAGGAGGTCCCTGAGAAACACATGCTTGAGACATGTCAAGGTACCTTCACATTTCCTTTGTCCCTTGAAGGCCATTTTACTCATCCTTGGGGTGACTTGGAGATAAGAACATAAATTTCTTGAAAGTGAGGTTCATCTCGGGGGAAATATTTGTTCTGTTAAAAGCTAGTATCAAGGGATTTATGTACAGGGGCATAAATGAGAGTAGATGTCAATATCTACAGATGCTGATGAGATAGCAGCATTAACAGCAGGTGGTTCATGAGGACAACCAGAGTCCAAAGAGCAAAGCCTTGCCTGTCCTCACCCAAAGGCCCTTCATCAGGTCCTCAGCCCTAAATAAGAGCACTATGTCTTGTCAGGTACATATTTCCATGTTCCACTACACAGTCTTTAAGTATGCAGCTTCAACAAGCCCAACCCATAACACCGTGTCCTGAGTAGGACACAGAATTCTGGACCCACTCTGCCCACAGGTTCCCCTCTGCACATCAGCAGTAAAAAACTACTGCCTTGAGCTCCCTGTTCTAGTGGAGGGTGCAGCTTCCCCTGGCTCTTAACCTTATTTGTATCCAACCAAATATGCTGGGGCAAATGACCCTGCAGGATTTTGCGCCTGGCCTAGTTCAAAATGGACATGGCTCCTGTGTCAAGATGAGATCAAAGGTACAGGATCAGGCCCAGGGTCTGTGGTGACCCCTCCCAAATCTGAATATGCCTTGCTCTCTCTGTTCCTTTGCAAAGACAGTGAACTTCCCTGTTTCCAAGCACCAGCTCCAGGCCTATTCCTATTCCCCCTCAGGGGCTGCTATGCCCACCTAACTCTCCCGCCTACCCCGGAGGTACCCATCAAGGCAACCCAGGTACCTGGATGGGTCCTCTGGACCCTGAGCCCTCCATATACATCTCCATAGCTGTGTCCTGTGTCTCTCCCACCAGGTCCCTACCTCCAGCAGCCATGGCGAACCTCCCAGGACTCCCTGCCCGATGTAGATTCCCCATAAAATTCGTCCTAAATCCGTAAGAGAGATAACAGAATGATGCAGCTGTATGTATTCATGACTCCTCGTCTCTGCTTTCTTCGGTGGCGTGCTGTTACATGCTGGGCTCACAGTAACGGAAAGTAAAGTGACTAAACCATGTAGCTGGACTTGACCTTTTTCTGCTTTGTGCCTTGGGTAGTCACTGGGACCTATAAATAAAGAGGGGAAGGGAGGTGTGGTAGGCACACGATGCAGACTTCTGGTGCAAATAACTGGTTATACAATAATTTGAGGAAAAACAGTGGTTTCTGTTACTTTCGTTTAGTTGCAAATTCTAATCATACACTAAAACCTTGTCTAATAAAATCCCTTTAGAAATGTTTGGCTTTTGCATATTAATTGCTGTTATGACAATGATACTTGTAACTCATTTAAGAGATGTGAGAGCCACTTCTTCCTCTTAAGTCACATAAATACCCTGTACATGTCTTTACCTAATGGATTGATTTACAAACTCTTTATAAATCACTCCATGGTAAATTTAAAGCAAACCCTGTTGAAAGTATCACAAACTCACAGTCTATAAGATTTAACTCTATTCCTAAATCCTATTTCCCATCTCTAAATATTGTCCCATATGCAACTGAACAGTTTGATAGTCTCTTTGATATTAGCCTGTGACATTTTCAGGAATAAAGAAAAATCTTATTTTGTTTTTACTGCCTTAGGAGAGACGATCCAATTTTACTTTGTGCCTTCCTTACAATGCACAGAGAAATCTTAAAAGTTCTATCAAGAAAACATTTACTGCATATTTCCAATTCAAATGGAAATAGCTTTCACTTTTGATCTGGTAGAAAAACCTCGGCAAGTGATGAAGTACAATGCTTTCTTTGTGTTGGACTAGGCTGCACGACTGTTACAGAATATGTTTGAGCGTTTGAGCTAAGAGACCAGAAGAGGCTTTCCAGCCACATGTTTAAAAGAACAGGCAGCAAAAAATTGCTTAAGTCAATTATAACCCTCCTTTCAGAACCATCTTGTGGGACGGATACTACTATTATCCAGATACTTGTATCTCACAGTCAGCCAACTCTCCTCTTAACTGGCAGTGTTTTTGAAATCTACTTACTCTTGAGACTGACCATAAAATCAACACACTGACAAAGCAACAGTTTTAAATTCCAAACATGCACAAAACCCAGAACCGTAATTACCTCAACTCTAAGCCCAGTGGAAAAGTGAGGCATGTCGCCTCCTCTGTTTTGCTCTGTGCAGGGGACCCTGTCAGTACTTCACACATGCCAAATAAATCCTCGGAATAACAGTCTTCAGATTTGAGGGCCAGTGTCCACCTGGGCAGAAATCAAGGCAGGGAGAATCTGTTCCCAAAGGGAATGCAGAACCTCCTCCATGCAATGTTCATTTTATGATGAGTTTTTCCCCTAAAGCCAGGGGCCACTCATAGAGAAAGATAAGAGCCACTATTCTATGAAAACAGGGTGCTTCAAAGAGTTGCTGGGTCAGGCAAGCT